AGCTGTTGATAAAAATCTGTAATGGCTTGTTGGAAATCCTTTTCGTGACATGCTGGTCAAGTTTCTGACCCGCATAGAAGAACTGACTGAGTCACTTAACATTGGTGTTGAAAATCCGAACCTTGTTCTTTATGCTGAGTGAGAGCAGATTTCTAAACTAGTTTCAGGTTGATGAGGGTGTATTTTGTCATTCCGATCTTGGCTGGCTGGATTTGACATCTTCATCCGTTCCGAACACTAATAAATATAAAAAGACAAGTAGTGTCCAGCGAAGAGGCTCTTTGCAGCGGCGAAGTCATTCTCCTCTCTAGCTGTGCAATCGTATGTATATACAATTTTGCAATGAAACAGGGTAGTAACAGAAGCGATGAGTAGTCACAAGCAGAGTTGTTAATATTAGTAAATACACGCAAGATGTTGGACAAACGTATCGCAGTTACGTAATTAGATGAATTGTTTAATGAGTGACTTGTAATTAGCATGCACATAGAAACAAAGGAAAATATGGGACTACGTAAGAGTTCTAAAGAAGTACACGAATTATGAGGATTTGAAAAAAATTCAAGTTAGTAGAAATTATTAACTATTCCCATTATTAATATTAGAACAGGACATATAAGCGAACAATATTGCTGTTTTCAATTAGATCTTCTTCAGGTTTTACTGTAATTTACATAAATTAATGTATAAAAATTTTAACCAATGACGGTGATTTTGTGGATCGAATAGTAATAATGTGGTAAATGTTTTGAACTTCAGTAATAACGATGATTATAATGATAACAAGGTTTATGCAGGTGGCGATAAGAATAACAAAGGTGTTTGTGTATATGTAGACAATTCAATAAATAAATTAGGTCAAATCTTAAAGGTTGTGTAATACTAGAGGTGAAGTGGACAGATAATCAGAGTTTAAATAAATATCATAAAAGTACGAAGGAGATGGAAGATAAGAAAGGGTAGGAGGGTTTTGAATAGAATTCACCTAGGCCAAGCAAGGGAGAGACAAAGGTAGAACAAACTTCTTTTGTTGTATGCAAAGACTAGGATTGTTCTTTCGAATTCCCATAGCTTCGGCTACGTGTAAAAGGCGGCTTCGAAAGGCTCGATAGAAGGCGACAGATAACTTTGAAGGCACTATTTCTGTCCACTTGGTGACCGCTATCAATCAAATGAGCCAAAACAGAACTTCTTAAAGATTTTATTTGACCTTTCCCGAAATCAACAAGGTTGTTACCATGATAGTATAAGTCGTTGAATAATTTCTTTTGGATACATAACTCTGGTTTTTCTTACTGAATGGCTAAGAATTCAGCAATACAAAGGAGACGAAAGCATATTGCCTCTGTGGCAGGTTGTTATTCTTCACTTTGGAGGAGGCGTTTGTTAAGACGGAATGACTAGTGGTGTTTGATAAGGTGTTCGTTTATCGCACTCCCTATAAAGCCACTACTACCTTTCTGAGCAGCCATGCGGGATAGTGTTCTTGAACCTTTTTAGACAAGATACGCGTCGAACAGTCAATGTACCTGGCACCACAGCAACAGGTGAACTGAAGTGGTCAGATGCGAAATCTTGTCCTTTGGTCTTCTGTAGATCAGTGGGCGACTAGAGAACACTACGCTCAACGTTGCTGCGAAGATGTTTAAAAAAGCCGAAATTCTCCTCTAAAGGACACCACTGGGTGAGTAGGTGGCCTTCAAAGTCGAGGTTCATGTGAAGTTTCTGTTTTTGGTACGGATGACGTCGGCTTGATGTTCTTGCCAATAAACCTTGGTGGATATCTGTCTTGAATAAAGATCTCTCTCAAAAAGTGTAGTTCTCCTTCTTCCAGAGTATCAGATGCATCTTGAATCCAATTGAAAATTATCAATATTTAACTTAAGTGGGCCATTCTCAAGACTTGCCATGAAACAGTCTACTAGCAATGCACCTTAGGGAGATCTGACTTTTTTGTCGGTAAATAGCATCATTAAACGTGAATTGTAGATTAAGAGTACATCTGCGTGACATTTAACACCGCTGGTTCATTGACAGAATGTTCACTAAACATGCAGCAGGTCCAGGTGAGATTTCCGACCGATGGAATCCTAAACGTTACCTAGTCGGGGTAGTAAGCCCAGAAAAGAGGGAAGGTGGTTATGCAATCACCCCCCCTCCCACTTGGATAGTATCAATCAATAAAGGACCTGGTACACAGCTGACTGTGGGTAGACTTTGGTCTTCCTCTCGAAATGCTATCATGTGGCCACACGAGTTCATAGCCTCTGCCAGACAAGTCCTATTCACTGCCTCCAAGTGGCGGATGGGGAAGTTCCTCACACAAGTGAAAGGACGAATGCGAACGCCTAAAATCGGTCTAGCCGAAATGCGAACATACCTAGGGGATCTGGAAAACCCTGGATTCTAGAATCCGGAAGAACTGAATGCCGAGTGAACCTGTTTTAGTCACGGGGAACCATGAAAATGTAGCTCGAGAGATCCTACTTCACTGCCTTGTGTGTCAGTACCAGACTTCAAGTCAAAGGCTCGGGTTGGGAGGGACCCTTTAAAACAACCGTCTGCTTTCTAGGTAGGGGTGCCCATAATCTACCAGATTTGCGTTTTAATAGCAACTATAATAACCTCATCGCTAATGAAGCTTCCATGCTTGATGATGCCCTACGGTACTGCCCAGATCGTAAAGAATTAAAAATAAATCTGAGTTGGGTCACAACCACGTAGTCCTGCTTCTATCAAATTCTTTTAGCCAAGAACTACGTATCAGCTTTCAACTTACTCATCAAAGATGCTCAGATTCAGATTATAAGGATAGAAGGCTCTTGTTGCCTATGTTAATCCTCGCGATATACATCTCTGCAGAGATCCAGTTTCTCTTTGAAAGTGTTCACCGATGGAGCTTTAATACTACTGAATCAGGTAAGGAGTTCCAGTCGTTGACCACTCTGTGAGAGAATCTAAACTCCACACGTATTTTATTCGACCTCGGTTTGAGCACCTTCTTGTGGTGACCTCGTAAATGTATCCTAGAGGGAGAGAAAAGGTTTGAAAGGTCAATGCCTAAATCACCCTTGAATATACGGTAAGCCAAAATTAAGTCGCCTCTCCTCATTCGGTATGATAATGGGAAGAGATTTAAGTGCTCCATCCTCTTATCATAAGGAAGGTGTGAGATACCACTAACTAATTTCGTTCCTACCCTCTGTACTCTTTCCAGGATATGTGCCTCCTTTTTGAAGCATGGACTCGCCGCTTGTATGCAGTACTCTAGATGAGGTCTGACATATGTTCCATAGAGTACTTGGAACATACCCTCGTCTAATCGTTTGAAAGCCCTCGAAGTGCCCATAGCATTCGAAAAGCCTTAGCTGCGGCTCGATTACAATTCGCCGTTGTTTTTAAGTCATGGCTAACAATAATCCCTAAGTCCTTTTGTCCCCTAACATCTGGCAGTTCTGTGTCCCCCAGGGGGAGTACAACGTGTAGATTCTGACCTAGTGCATTACTGCTCTTTCCTTGGAATTAATTTCCAAACTCCACAGGTTAGCCCATTCGGCTAATTTATCTAGATCGTTTTGTAGTACCAACCTATCATCGTTACTATTTACAGTTTTCCATATCTTAATATCGTCCGCAAATAGTAAGGAAGATGAGGTAAGAATTTTCGGCACTTCATTTACGTATAATAATAGGAAAAGCAGGGGGGCTCAATTAACTTCTAGTCACATCACACATCACTTAGTGTCAAGAAAAAACTACTCTACATGAATCTTCAATTCAATGGAGATTTATCTGCGGAAACACTAAAAAATCGACTGTCGCGCTCACTTAAGACGACCTTCTTCGCAGCTACGACTAACCTTCTCCACAAAACCTATGATTCATGTGAACGTGAAGGATAAGCTACCGCTGCTGGCCTCATCAATGTGCATTTATCAATTCACCTGCTCGTGTGGAGCCAGGTATGTCGGCCGTACCCAGCGCTCGCTTTCCAAACGTGTCACCGAGCACTTACCAACATGGTTTTACAAAGGAGAAAATCGATGACCCGCAGTTCCATCTTAGAACATCTGATAGAATCCGGACACCAAGCTACACCGCAAACAAACTTCAAAGTCGTCTACAGAGTAAGAAGTAGTCTCCCTAAAGGTGTACGAATCAGACTTCTTCAAACTGCACAAGCAATGGCGATTCACTTGCTAAGTCCTGAACTCTGCATACAGAAGAAGTTCGTTCAATCACTACACTTGCAATGGACGTAATCTATCTTATTAGCCGACATGTAAATTCTACCTAATCTTTTCTTCTGTCTCTTCACTAATATTATTTTGTCTTCTCAATTGTAACATTTTACATTTTCAACCTTTTTGTTCTCTACCCTCAACCGATTTAATTTCTGCACCTCACTACCCCTGTTAGCGACTCCATCAACGCTAAATTTCTAGTCATTTATGTTACGCCATCCAACTTATTTGCTCAATTTCACTTCTACTTAATCTCTACCTGTAATTACCTCTGTTGCTATCCTGACCTAAGTTGTAACATTTTAGCCAATTATATTACGTCATCTAGCTTACTAACTCAATCTTACTTTAGGTGTTGTCTGATTAACTCTGTCTCTATACTACATCATTCTTGTATTAACTAATCAATTATCTAAACTTGACAAACCTCATGTACTATTCAGTCTCTTTAACCTTCATATTCCTTTCTACCATTACTCATTCTGTTTCACTGTTATACTTATCTAAATTCTATTGATTCTCTTCACTCATTTTCCTGTCTACCTTTGTGTGCTCTTTGGAACGTGGCAACTCGAACTGCTGCACTTCGGTGCCAAGTTCTATGTTGAATCCAGCAACAGCAAACCTCATGTAAACACACACATAAATATTTATATATAAATGCGATTGTACAGCTATGTGAATGAATTCGCCGAAAAGAATCTCTTCGCTGAACCTCTTCTCTTTTTCACATCACACATCATCACAATATCAATTTCCGGATCCAATAACAAGAAAATAAAAAAAAATGAAGAGATCAACTGTGAAGTAATGTGTGTGATACGCAAATTTATGTATTGCAGAAATTACACTGTATGTATACGACGCAATGCACACGCGAATGCACGCACGCACGCACGCACACGAACACACACATACAACACACATTAGAAAAAAAGACATCCGTGCGTGCGTGTGTGCGTGCATGCATGCGTATGTGTGTATTACAAAATGGAGCGGAGTGAAGCGCAGCAATTCAGTCTGAAGTAGATTTTTTATTGAACTGGATGCCTAAAAAGGAGATAATTTTGAAAAAAAAAAACTCAACACACAGAAAGAGCGGAGAGGGAGACAGAGAAATGAAGAAGTAGATCAAGATCCACACAGCGGAGGCTATGAGAAGTAGACATACACTCACAGACACACAGCTACAAACACACACACACAATCAAATGATTATAACAGTCAAGAGGATTCATCAACTGATTCTACTGATGTTTCTTCTTCTGCTTGATTTGTTTCCTTATTATCAGCACTACCGTTTTCTTCAGGATCACCACCACCACCGGTTTCATTGTCACCAGCACTACGAGCATTGTCAACCCATAGACCACTGTCCACACATCGTTTCATATGATATTCAGCCTGTTGTGGATCCATACTGCATAGTACTGTTTTTAATAATTCAACATCTTTTTTCTCAAAACATTCTTGGAGATTCTATAAGGAAAAAAATAAATAAAATGTATCATTGATGTAGAGGATATTACAAAACTAGGTGAAAGATAGTTGTTCCATAGTTCGGTTACAGTTCAATTTACCTGGAAGAGACAGATTGTAGGCCATTATACTTTATTGTGTGAAAACTGATGATATCCCTCCCCAACTTGCCTGTTTACATTTTATCGCCTGTGTTAAAAATGATACAAATATAATGAGCAATAGTGAGGCGAGGCGAAGAGTGTTCAGGCAAGGAGAGTATTATTATTACTGTTCCCTTGGGTTCCTAGTGGAACATAGGGCTTCAGCTGCACGTCTCCACTTGCTTCTGTCTTCTGCTGTACTTTTCACCTGCATCCATGTTAGTCCATACTGTTTCAACTCCTCTTCACACGATCTCCTCCATGTCACCCTTCGACGTCCCACTCGCCGCTTTCCTTTCGGGTTCCACTCGAGCTATGGCCTGACGCGCGATGTCACCCAACGGCTTCCTCAGCGAGTGTCCAATCCATCTCCACTTTCTCCTGCATATTTGTTGGGCGATTGGTTCCTGTTTTGTTTGTTCCCATAGCTTCTTGTTTGTGATTCTTTCCGGCCAACTAATCTTCAGTATGGAGAGAAGACAGTTGTTGATAAAGGTGTGCAACAGGCTGTTGGAAATATTCTTTGTCACCCGCCAACTTTCTGATCCATCCGTATAGAAGAACTGACTGACTTGACGTTTGTATTGAAAATCCGAATCATTTTGTTGTTGATGATGAGTGACGAAGATTTCCAGATTGGTTTCAGGTTGATGAATGTGTTTCTCGCCTTCCCGATTCTCGATTTGACATCCTCGTCGTTTCCTCCAAATAAATAATTGAGATCATGAACCGATGTGGATTGAGATGGCTACGACACATTCATTGTGCATGCCCAGATACAGCCTTCCTTATCGAACAATCTTAGCTAACATAGGCTTGAAGTGGAAAAGAGTTAGAGATGCTCCCATCAAATCCTGGAAGCAATCAATGAGGTTTTAGACGGTTGGTTTATGCAGCATGCATAACAAACACTGCCATACCCTAGTACATAAACATTTCACCAGTTTTATTTTTACTGACATAGAGTGGGATGAGTCGAAGTAGAAATACCAGTTTGAATGTATGAGTTTTCTTCAATAAGGAAGCCTACGTTGGCGATCAACAGTTTATCTTATTCCTTTGAGTTCCAAATTGAACATAGATTGGTTTCAAGCTTGACCTTAGAAGTTTCAATAGCGGTGATGATCTTTTTAACGGGGTAGGGTAGACAGTTTTACGCCCAACCTTCCTACTCCACACGGATTACTCCTACTCCTGGCTAAGTGTGATTTAGGAGTACGTCGGCCGGGAATCCAATCCCTGACCACCTGAGGCGTGGTTGGCGAGCATCCTACAACCACTGAGGCATTGACGCAAGAACGATGAAGAGTGATGAGTAACAAGCTGCTATATTCACGTGGGAAAGGCGTACGACAGCGTTGACCGCGAAGTAATTTGGAAACTACTTCAACACTACGGCGTGCAGTACCCCGAGTCTTTACCAACCTCATTCAACAGCTATGTATATGACGCTGCCACATGTCAAGTGATCCACAACGGAAAACTCAGTGAGGCGTTTGAAGTGCATACAGGAGTAACACAAGGCTGTCCACTATCACCAATGACATTCCTAGTTGTGGTGGACTGGATTATGCGTCAGACTGTGCAAAGGCAGCGAGTACACAGGAATCGGTCGAACCAATAAGAAGACTCTAGAAGATATGGACTTCGTGGACTATTTATGTTTCATTTAGAAGAAAAACCTCGAATATCTAGGAGCGAAAAAGAATGGGTTGGAAAGAAGAGGCAGTGAAGACAGGACGTCAGGTAAACATAGAGAAGACGGAGGTAGGTGATGAAGACGTCAAACCAACCAACAACAACGACAACAAGTGATATCAACGGAATAAGTTTGAAGATAACCACCTCCTTCACTTATCTAGGAAGCATCGTTTCAACCACAGTCTAGGGACAAGGATGAGGATGTCAACGCCAACCAAAATCGGAAAGGAAAGGTACATCTTCATCACTCTGAAATTAGTTCGAAAATCTTCCGCACTCAGCCAACATAAACAACATAATCCGGATTTTCAACACCAATGTTAACTCAGTCAGTTCTTCTACATGGGTCAGAAAATTGACGTTCGCGTCAAAAAAGCAATTCCAACAGGCTACTGCAGACATTTATCAACAGCTGTCCCCATCGTTGGCTCCATATTGAAGATCAAATGGCCGGCCAGCCAGAAATAATCCGCAACAAGAAATGCTGGAAATAAAACAACCGAGAATCTATTGCTCAACAAATATGCAAAAGAAAATAGAGATGGATCCAACACATGCTGAGGAGATCATCAAATGAAATCGAGTCTCAGGCCATTGTTTGAATGGGACTCAAGTGAGAAATGACGAGCGGGTAATCATGGGGCCTGTTAAGGAGGAACGCAAAGAATAGGACAAAATGGAGATGTGTTGTTGAAGCCTTATGTCCCACTCGGAACCTAAGGGAACAATAATAATTATGTATAATGCAGCCAGGTGAGAGCTTACGGCGAGTTGTCATTCGAACTGGTGACAACTAGTGATGTCTGACAGGGATACCCATTATCCCCCATTTCTATTCAATTTCATCATAGATGTACTTATGGACTTAACCCTAAGTGATTTCAGCGACTCAGGGGTTGACTTGTTACCAGGGAATAATCTCGTTGACTTAGAATATGAAGATGATATAGTCCTTCTAGGAGAGGATGCTGACAAAATGCAGAGTCTTCCGAACACCTTGAGTTGCAATCAGCGAATATTTGGCATGCGATTCGCTCTTACTGTCAAATGTAAGATGACGCTACAGGACTGGACTACATCGACACTTAGCTTAGAAATAGGTAGTGAAGTAGCAGAGCGTGTTGACCAATTCACTTATTCGGGAAGTTGCATCAGCCAACGCCAGCGGGTTAATCGCTGACGAAATCTCAGCACGGATACAGAAGGCTAGTTTCGCCTTCCTCGACGATGGGCAATGTTAGCTGACATAGGGTCAGGTTGGAAAAGAGCCAGTGGTAGTCAAACCAAAACATGGCTTTATCAGTCAATGAAATTCACAACAGTTAGTTTAAGCCATGTAACAGGATTTAGACATCCTGGTAGGGGTCCTCGGGTTGGTAAAAACCAATGGCTGGAGATAATTGGTGATATGGCTCAAACTCATCGTTCTCAATGGGTGGCGCAGTTGCATCCGGGAACACGACCAAAGAGCCGAGAGTAATAAACTATAATAGAAATCTTTACACAAGATGAATAAATACAAGGAGAATCTTGAAAAACAAGATAATCTAATCAACTAATCAACTTGTGACTAACCGCTGGCAGTGATTCAAACACTTCAACTGGATCAAGACCACCTGGACCAAGACGTTTCTTTTTCTCTTCCTAGAAAAAGACAAAGAAGAAGAAGAGGGAGAAGTGAAGTAGATAATTGACAAGAATTCCGTGAAATCAACTGAGGAGGAGGAAGAGTGTATATCACTCAGTCAACCGGACTTTTAAATCCATACTAACATCCATAGTTTGATTACTTATTTACAATATCATAATATAAAAGAGCAAAGTCCTGTAGTTCTCTGCAAAGTTCCATGTTAGAATTCAGTCAGTCATTTCTGTATCAGTGTGTGTTTTGCCAAATAGAAATATTCTATTTCTGTTGTTTAATACTATATACTACTGATTGATTGAAGTAAGTAGTTGTATACAACTCACATCAAATAGTAGTGTGGTTTCTTGCCAACCATGATATTGCTCAGGTATATCATATATATATATATCGGATGGTTGGAGACAATCGGCAGCAAGTCCCACCTGACCTAGGTTTCGTGCTAGTTGACACTCATCAGTCGACAGGGCGTATTTGCAACCTTGAAGGAACTCATGTCTCATCCCTCTGAGATTCGAACCCGCATCACCCTCAGTGGTGCAGTCAGAGACGTTACCACTGAGCTATTCGGGCTCGCGATTGACCTCCTGTAGGACTTTATTGGACACTAGTTAGTAACTAGTATAATGTGTCTAGTCCTCTGTTTCGTGCAGACTGAATTCCATCAGTCAAGTTTGCAACGTGGCCACGATTCTAAGTGGCGCCCCATCACGATACACTTTGAATTATTGATATTAGATGGTTGGAGGCAAGAAACCTTGGACCTAGGTACACCTTGCTGACGAGGGCCAACTAGCACGACAGCTAGGTCCAAGTCTTCCTGTCGATTGGCTCCAAACATCTAATAACAGCCCTGCAATTCTTCCTACCCACCACCAATCCAAAAATCTTGCTGATGCTCAGGGTGCACCGTGGTTGCCACATTGCAAACCTGACTGATGTAAGAATTCGGTCTGCACCAAACAAAATTACTGGATTTAGATATGATAGAGAAGATTTGTAGCTCAGGTGGATGATTTTGATGTGGTTGTGTTCTCTGAGCCGGATAGTTAATTTGCGAAGCTTTCATCGCCCTACTAGGCGACATCTTCAGCGCATACTTCAATTTGAATTGAAGTGAACTTTTAGATTTCTCCACGAGTTTATTAATCATCTCTCGTGGTGACCTTGGACGTGATTGGCTGTTTTTGTGTTTTCACACCTTCTAGGTTACTTGTATTCAAACTGATTGTTTCTTTGACTTGAACTTTGACCCTTTGTGTGTGAGGTTTCTTTCTTATCGGTTGATAGATTTTGTCTATCTCGAGTGTCTATTGATTGATGATTCACTGGAATGCTTCTAAAAATTGTCTAGCATTCTTATTGTTTCCTCTGTCTAATATTTGAACGTTGTTGCAGTCGAATTGATGTCCGTGGTTGTCTGTATGTAGTGATGTGAGGGAGTGAATATCCACCAGGAAAGATGATTAATAAACTCGTGGAGAAATCTAAAAGCTCACTTCAATTCAAATTGAAGTATGCGCTGAAGATGTCGCCTAGTAGGGCGATGAAAGCTTCGCAAATTAACTATCCGGCTCAGAGAACACAACCACATCAAAATTACTGGATACATTACACTAGTTACTGACTAGTGTCCAATCAAAAGTATATACATATATATACACATATTACATCACAATAGGAGGGATTAGCATTTGCAAACAATACAACAAACACCCTTACCTCTTCATATTGCATCATAGCTTCTTCTATTCGAACTTTAGCTCGTGCACGAATTCTCTCTCGGAATGCTGAAAGTTCATCATTAAAAGCTTTTTGATATTCTGGTTCTGGATTTATAAATCTAGATAGAGAAAAGGACAAAATAAAAATAACGAATAGTTCTTTTTTGAGACATAAACAACGCATTCTGTAAAAAAAAATTAACAGGATAACACACATTTTGATTGACTAAATGACTGACTGGTTTTCTCAGCATAGAACTTTACACAGATGTCCAGCAGTCCAGTTGTATTTTCCTAGTTTCCAACGATCTCTAACTGGTGTTGGTACGTGACAAAATCTACTTTGAAAGATATAAATATTCATGTTAATAGAGTAGGCAGTTGACCAGGCCTACCGCGATAACGGTAATGGCATTATTATTTTATTCCTTTTGTATTTCGAGTGGAACATAGGGGGCTTCGAACTTTACCTTTGAATTCTCAGTAGCAGTGGGTTTCTTTTCTTTACACGGTGGGGTTGCTAACCTCACGCTAAACCTTTCCTCTTTGTCAGAATTATAACTGGTTAAGAGAGGTAGAAGTGTGCGCCAGCCGAGAATCGAACCCCGGACCAAGTGTATGGTTGGACAGTGCTCTACCGCTGAAACACCGACGCACATTCACATAATGATTCACCCATTGACTGGGCATTGGTCTCCAGAAGAACCGAACACACCTAACACTGCCTCTTGTGAGACAAGACCAGCATATAGTATCATCCTGTGGCGCAACCACTCGAAAGCCCTCTCCGTCGGTGGACCACCAAATGGCATTTAATATCATCGATTTTTGTTGGTTGGAAAGTGATGTGTCAATCTTTAACTACTGAGTATTTAAAACTAATCGTAAAAAATTCTTTTTTAAAAACTTACTTGGCAAAGAATGGTCTAATACACGCTCTTGGATCAACTTTAAGTGATTTCGCCAATTCAAGCATAAATTGCATCACTATACACTGATGAGATACATGATCCATGAGTTCAAATTTCTAAAAATCAAAAAATAACATGAGTAGAAATAAATACACTCCATATATAAATAGTAATAATATAACATTTCGGATATTGAATTCAATTTCGACTTTCCTGATGATTGATTGAACCGAAGTGCTTTGCCTCCCTCAGGTTAACATGTCAGGTCCTTGGACTGCAAATGCTTCCACGATATCTGATTACAGGATTTCATCATGAACTGACATCGGTTAGAGAACCATTGGAAAACAAGCTGGGAGTACTGAACAGCCATCTGTTTCGTCAGACTAGTTTGGGACTCTTCATCAGTACGTACCCACCCCAAGGACCTTCTGGTTACAAGGCTAGCTAGCTCGTAGATCATTAAGCCACTGGGACCCGATCCAATGGCTAGTTCATGAATTCCAACTTCTGCCACATCAAACTAGTCTGACGAAACAGCTGTCCATTACTCCCTACTGGTTTTCCAATGGTCCTCTCTAACCGACGTCAGTTCATGATGAAATCCTGAAACCTGCAAATATCTGATTACTTGACTTCAAGTAAACTGGTAAATGGTGACTAGCAGTAGAATCCATTACTGGGCTCAATACTCAGTGGGAACACCACATCACTCACTCACTGGGGAATGCAGGTACATCCGGATGACGAGTCGTAAAAAAGGGGAAGAAATGAGCATCCTGGATTCCACTGCTAATCACCAACCATCAATTTATTCAGATATTTGGGATAATTATTACTCTTTAGGAAAAACAAATAATCCATATATTATAAAAGATTTACAGGCGAAAACCAATAAGTTGACAGAAGAAGCAGGACTTCAAGTGAACACAGAGAACACAGAAGTGATGAAGATGCCTAACTACCACTGTGGTGAGAGCTGGTTGCTAGCCAAAATTGGTAGACAGTAATTTACGTCAATGTTTAAGTCCCCAATGTTGGTCATGAGAAAAGAACAAGAACAAAGACTGCTGAATCAACAACCAATCACAGCAGACTTTGCGTAGGCGGATACAATTTGCAGATAGATAATCTGAACTTCAAGAAACGGCCACAAAGAGATGAAAGATTAATGTTCAGCGAGAAAACATCAATCAGAAGACTGTGTTTGTCTGGTAAACAATAATCTATAATAATGTACAGGAAAATCTGTAGATATCTGTTGATTTCCTAAATAAATGATCTGTTGCCTGACCCTTGACTTCTGTTGTTACACCACTACCACAACCACAAGCAACAAAAAGCATCAATCACCATCAGCGAAAGAAATCTAAATCTTTTCACTTGGCTGGCTACGGGCAACATCGTTTCAACTGCAGGCGACACAGATGACGAAGCTCTAACCAGGATTGGAACAGCAAGACAGACCATCATTACACTGAAATTAGTGTGGAAATCTACTCCACTCAGCGTAGGCAACAAGACTAGGAATTTCAACACTACTATCAATTCTGTTATTTGCTTCTATGTGGCTTAGAGATTTAGCCAGCGTGTCACGAAAGGTATTTCCAAAAGGCTACTTCAGACTTTTATCAACAGCTACCACTACGGGTTCCATACTGAAGACCAGGTGACCGGTCAGGAAAGGATAAAGCGACAAGGTAGTTTAGAAAAGAAACAATCAAGAACCTATTGTCTAACAAATATGCTGGAAGGCTATGGAGATGTCATCGACATACACTGAGAAGACTGTTGAGTGAAATTAAGGCGCCAGGCAGACCTTCGGGTGGAACCTGGAATGGGAATAATCACTAGTCGTCTTAAAAATATTTTAGTCGATAACTCAATGTTAGACGACTATCGATAACATGCAGGAGATTTTATGATTCATGTTTGCTTAAGCATTGTCAGCATACTGGGAAACATTCTCCAGATGGGATTCATATATTCACTATACAAATCTGAAATCCACACTACTTAATCAAATGTACTGATGAACCTATGTATACTAATTAGTCTTAACGACAACTTCAGTGCGAGGAACATGATGTTCCCTACTATAAGTGAACAACTTCAACATCATGGTTAGTGCTGGAATCTCGGATATGCGTTTCATCCTACTTTAGACTTGTCAGCTGAATCTACCTGTACTTTTCAAACTCAACAAGTTTAAAACCAGAAAAATGGGGAAAAATATAAAAACTGCTGTGAGATAGCCTACAGTGGGTAACTCAATTACTCGAAACCGACTCTTCATGTATCAGGTTAAGATCCGCTGTGTCATCGTATAAGGCTCGATGTAACTACTACACAGTTTACCAGGTTGAAATAGGTGGACACTTTATTGTCCAGATCAGCTAAAGACGATAGGATAGTAGGCGACTTAGTGTGTAGTGCATACTTCCCCCCAGATGATGTTTACTCCACACCTTATACATTGCTTGCCATTTCATCACGGGGTTTTTTGCCCCCTATGTACCTGACTTTGACCTATCTAGGCGAACCGGTTAGTTAGGCTGCTTGAACGACCGGCTTTAATTAGAAATAACTCTACGATTCTTGTGTGGGAATACCATTCCTGCTAGACCTGAGCACTAGCCACACTACCTGCTGACTCTTTAGCCTGGCCCACCTAACCTGATGGCCAGGCTGTTCTTAACACCGCCCAAACTAGAGAAGGGAGAATATAACTCTGACGCCTTTTCACACCACAACACCGCCTCCGAGCTCTTGTTCCTTGAAAATTATATTGACCATCATGTGTTTCAATCCGACCAGATGAACAAATAATCGTTGATGAAATTCTTTGATCCCCTACACCTAGACTGCATGTACACTAATTCAGTAGAATGGCTCCCGGGTTGCAGTGTTTAACCTTTACTTTTAAACATTTAGGAAACCGGTATGTAAGATTATAAGGAGCACAAGTTTGAGAGGTGAATCACTCGACTTGTGTGTCAATGAAGAGTACAGCCACCAACTGTGTGAATTAGCGTGAACTACACATAATACTACTACTTTGAACATCAACACTATGAACGCAGCATATTGCGACCACAAGATATCATGTGGCCACATCAATCCGACGATCGGCTTTTTCAAGTATTGGTTTTGTAGGGATTTCGTTTCATTGGATGGAGGATTTCATCATGAGCTGACATCAGTTAGAGAACCACTGGAAAACCAGCTTGGAGTACTGGACAGCCAGCTGTTTCGTCTTAGTTTGGGACTCTTCATCAGTACGCACCCACCGGGGTTCGAACTCAGGACCTTCTGGTTACAAGGCGAGCTCGTAGACCATTGAGCCACTGGGACCCGATCTAATGGCCAGTCCATGAATTCTAACTTCTGCCAATTCACGACATAGCGCGACCATTTCACAATGTTTTCTTCGATGAGTTACTGCCTCATCTTCAACCTGCTGCACCCTAGTGGTCTCGGCTTCCCATTAAAACCCCAGGTCACTGCCTGAATACGGCCAGTCGCTAGTGAGCATCAGAAAACATTGAGAAATAGTCGCGCTATGTCGTGAATTGGCAGAAGTTAGAATTCATGCATTGGCCATTGGATCGAGTCCCAGTGGCTTAATCGTTTACGAGCTCGCCTTGTAACCATAAGTTTGGTTCGAACCCCGGTGGGTGCGTACTGATGAAGAGTCCCACACTAAGACGAAACAGCTGTCCAGTGGTTCTCTAACTGATCGGCTTTTTATCTATTACAATGCACTTGGCGTGTATACTCGTATATCAACGAGGGTTGCTGGCTAAAGGCTCCATCCTAATTTTTCCAGCCACAGTTTTATTCTGACCTCGGATCAGATGTAAATACCCCACTGATCTTAAGCATATCACTATGTGGAAGAAAAGAAACCAACACAGTCGCCCTAGTAACTGCAAGTGGACGTGGAGTAGTAGCCCATTCAACGAAGCCTGTGGTTATGTGACTGTTTAGGCTTGTACCTGTCACGAGACTCGAACCAGTGACCCATCAGCTAAAAATCCAGTGCTTAAAGCCATTGAACTGCACATAATATTGGCAACAATTACCATATTGAATCTCAACCAACTCTACTAACATTTCATCAACAATATAAAACACATGATTGATGACAAACATTCAATTTTATTTTATGAAGAGTTAGTTTAATAAGACTTTTTGTTAAAATGTATTTTATAACTAGAAAGTGTGATTGACAGCTAGATTTATAGATACATAGATAGAGATGGATACTTTATATATGCCTAACAGTTAATTGATTAGTCCTCTCACTTCATATAACATGAAACCGGTAATCAGTTGAGAGTATTCACTTCTTCAGTGGGTGTGATCACATACCCTGCTGAGGTGTAACCATACACACACACGCACACACACACACACATAAGATCTAACAATTATTAACCTTTAGGGAATAAATGCCATCAACTAGTGTATCTAAGCCAGATTTTTATCAGCGAAGCAGTATACTTCACTCAGTATGATCAAATACATATGCATATGTGTGCATAACTCAGCATGTATGCTCCGTGTACACAATATAATAATGATAGCTTGTTTTAATGCTAAAAGTACTTCAAACAGTTTAGATTTCATTTACTGAAGATAGAACGTAGCAAGCTGCAAGTATAGATTAATGTACTAAGCCAGAAATGATTGTAGGGATAATTATTATTGTGGGAGCATCATCACTCACTGCGGAATGCAGGTGTGATGAGAGCTAGCTGCTAGCCAAAGTTGGTAGACAGTAATTGACGTCAATGTTTATGTCCTCACCAATATTGGTGGTGAGAAAATGAGAACAAAGGCTTTGTGTAGGGGGATACAGTCAGCATATAGATGATCTGACACAGCCACAAAGAGATGCAAGGTTAACTTTCTGTGAGAAACAACCAATCAAAAGACTGTATTTTCTACTAACAATAATCTACAATAATGTACATTAAAATCTATAAATATGTGTTACACAGGTACATCCAGCTAGTGATGAGTCCCAAATAGGACGAAACACACTTTATCCTGGATTCCACTGCTAGTCACCATCCACCAAAATTAACCTCTAATAATTATTGTTGTTTTGTTTGAATCTTATTATTACTCGGAACAAATACTTGATGTACTAGGCTGAGAGCCTCAGTGCATAAGGGCAAAAGATTTGGATTTTTAACACTACTGTCAAGTCAGGCAGTGCTTCTCTATATGGCTTAGGGATTTGGTGCGAGCGTCAGGAAAACTATTTCCAACGGGCTAATTGCAGCCTTTCATCAACAGCTGACTTCGCTCCATGATGAATATCAGACGACCAATGAAGAAAGGATACACAACAGTAAAGTCTCCGAACGAAGCGGCCGAGATCTTAATACCTAAGAAATATGCAGAAGCTAATGGGAACGGATCGAACACTTGCTAAATAGACTATTGAGTGACATCGCGCGCCAGCCAGGCCATCGCTTTAGTGAGACCTGAGTGGCGAACGATGAGTTGGGTGTGGGTTTGAGATAGACATAAAGGAGGTCTTGTGAGTTATGAATGACAGTTATGGACCCCTCCCTCTTGCAGTTCCGTGTTCCACACGAGCCCAGGAGAATAATAATAATAAGGCTAAGAGCTACTTATTAGGTGTGAAGTCTAATGATACTACCAAGTTGCCTTGGCTGAAGCATTTGGAATTGGACTCGAACACCTGACGAACTTGATTGAAGGCCGAATGTTTAAGCCGATTAACCACATTTCTACTAGGCTGTCACCTGAATTAGATTTACTGGCTAGAAATATACCTTCAGAAGCCAATCAATGAGTTATAAACTCCCTACGCTAAGCGCACCACAGTCAAACAGATCATAGAATGGTAGTCAAACAGCACGTTCGCCATTGATTACGATTCTTGGCCATATCCGATAACGTTTCGAGCCATCGATTCGAGCTATCTCTCGGACTTCAACCAGGGAGTCATGACGCACCAACCGATGCTAATCTAGCACAAATATTCTTCATCCCACGACGCCACGTCATGGAGTGACCACCACCTCTCCACCTTTTCCATCTTGTCCCAGGGCTGGCTAACGAACAGAGACCTGTCCAAGCCACCGAAGCAGGTGTTTTCAGATGACGACACTCAAATGAATGGTGATCCCGACTGTGTTCAAACACACGCCGCCGAACCTCAGAATTACTCACGCGATGGTGCCATCGAACTCAAGCAATCCTGCAGAGACAGCGATGATCGAATACGCAGAGTCATTGTACATCCTCAGCTCGGAGAGGCCAGGTTTCACAGGCATAGAGCAAGACATTTCGCAAGATAGCTTGTCTTCGCTACACATACTGAAGGTCAGATGGCCTGCTAGCCAGAAATAATGAGCAAACAGGAACTCTGACAGGCAGCGAATCAACCCAAAAACCTATTGTCCAACAAATATACCGAAAGAAATAAAAATGGACTGGACACAGACGCTAAGGGGTCAGGTCAGTTAAGTGACATTACACACCAAGCAAACCGTCGAATGGAAACCAAATGGGGAAAAACAAGTTGGGTGTCACTTTATCTTGAGTGACGTGGAAGAGATCGTATGATGTGAGGCAGATAAAAAGGACAGGATGAAATGAAGATGTCCTGCTGAAGCTGTGTATGTTCCACTCAGAACCAAAGGGAATAATGAACTATAATCATCAATATATTGAGGAGAAGTAAAAGTGGGTGGTGAATGATGGATGCACTTACCTCTTCCACTGCTAAATCAATACACCAGATGACAAGTTGATTTGCTGTTTCTTCGCATACCAGATAAGGATTTTCAATAAGATAATTTTGTGAATCCAACGGTTTACGGAATAATCCAAATTTGCGTATTTCTTTATTATGCTTATTAACAAAATCTTTCAACCGATTGACAGCTGCTTCTTCAGAATTATCAATTTTCTCATTCTCTTCTTCATATTTCAATTTTGATGAATTAATACACTGATGAAAAAGGAATAATCATAATAATAATAACAATAATCCTCATTGAAAAACTACAATTTAGATAAAGGAATAAAATGGAATTCTATAAACATTTTCTTGTTACTTAAAAGCTTATATCTGTTTACACCTGAGTGTTAAGTGTATCTAACACCCGACCGGTAGCTTCTACTTTGACGTGGTGGTCGAGTTTGCATACCACAAAATGGCCCAACAAGATACACTGGCTGGAACTCATGTTACTGCAGGTCCTACCATATGCCAGAAAGGTTGTTAGCAAAGCGGCTGGACTAATAGCGGTTACCGGCATTTTTATATTCCTTTAGGTTCACAGTGGAATATAGGACTTTAAGTTGGAACTTTGAAGTTTCGGTAGCAGTGTTGCTAGCCTCATGTCCAACCTTCCCTCTTTACCAGTTTTATTGCCGACTTAACGAGGTAAAGGAGTGCATCTGGCGGGGATTGAACCCCGGACCACATGCGTGCTCGGCGAGCATTCTGCCGCTAAGCCACCGACGCACAGTTACCGGCATAGTGTAGGGGGGAGGGGGGCGTAAACGGAATTGCACTGCCGGTGAGTAGGGATGCAATACAGTAGTGACATGTCCCCCTCAAATGACCAGCACATCAGCTATGTTTCCTCTCCTCGTTTTGGGGAAGAGGGATGTTAGAAAAAGTCGATGCCGAAAAATGTACGCCCCGACTTACCTCGCGGCAATAAGCTCTTAATACAGCCACAACTATGAAAACTACTTCAAACTGGCAGTTATGTGACAGGCCTTGAAAAGTTTTCTCATGGGCTCTGCGGTCACACAACACGAATGCTCCTTTTTGCTCCAGTTGCCCCAAGAAGAAATCAAATTCCATAGTTCGGGTAGCCAGGAAGTAATAAACCCTCCATATACTATCGTGAGCACACAAAGCCCTCCTAAATTGTATCAAGGTAATCTTATACGCGACAATTCTAAAAACAATAGTTTTCATTGTTAGTTAAGACTCCGTTCCTCGGGGAACAGATTTTTCATGTATCAGTCACACATTTTGCGTATAAGCCAGTGATATATAAATAAATGTATACAGAATTAAGCACAACTTTCTCATCGCCATCTCCGACGCCCTAAAAGGTGCTACAATCCTGTCTAAATTAAAAGCTAGCTGTTTTTAGATGGTCCCGATTCCAACTAGAATTTCATAAAGGCTGAAGTCCATTTATCGATGCTTTCAATAGACTTTCAATAGACAACTCAACATAGAAGTTCAGCAGTTCAAGTTGCCACATATCCCACGTAGCACACAAAGGTAGACGAAAGAAAAAGGGATTTAAAAGTACTATAATAAGCAGAAATGTGAGGGAGACAAAAAAAAATAGTAATATAGAAAAACACTAGGGTTTAATGGATATGGCAGACCACAAAGATTGAATGCATCTACGCCATTGAGAACGATTTTGAACCGTATCTCCAATAGTCTCCAGCCATTGGTGCCTATCGATGCCTACTGCGACTGACCAGTCGATAGATGATTATTTTGGTGTCATAGGGTGTAAAATATATCTAGGGCTTCCTGCTGACTGCTTCCAACCATCTAACATCAATTCAGAGTGTACTGAGATGGCGAGTCATAAAGCTTGGTGACTTCACTGATAGAATTCAGTCTGCACACCAACACCAAGAAATAAACGCATGACATTGGCTACTCTCTGGTGACCAATCAATGTATCCAGTGGAGTCCTAGAGGAGGTTGATTGCCAGCCCGAATAGCTCAGTGGTGACATGGGTTTAAATCTCAGAAGGCTGCAGAGACGCCTTGCTGATGCGCGTCAACAAGAAAGGAACCTAGATTCACGGCTTCCTGCCGATCGCTTCCAACTATCTAACATAGGACATTAGGATAAGTCTGGCAACGTAGTGAGCTATAACACTAGAACTAAATAGTTTATGATCAAATATAGAAAAATCACGCAACAGTTGCGTGAATTAAATGACTCACCAAGTAACAAAATAGCACTTTTTTTTAAAAATAACACAAAACTTCCTAGAGTTAGCACTCAGTTCCACCAGTGCCCATAAACGACCTTGATAGACTTTTGTCTTCCTCTCGAAATACTCTCATATGGCCACATGCGTTTATACCCTCCAAAGCCTCAGGATGGTCGGGGGTGGGTGCCTTGCGCTGCGGGTTGGCCACCCCTCCGCACACCTCTTGAAATGCTCCCATATGACCGGGCGTCTTACATAGCCTCTCCTGAGGAAGTCCTACACAGTGCCTTCACGTGGCGGAGGTGTTTTTCACCAAAGTGAGAGGGCGAAAGCAGATGCCCGGCGCTCTTCACCGGGTTGACTGTCCATTGGATGACAGTCTAGGGGAGATGGCTAAACCCTGATTCCAAACCTCCAACGACTGGCGTATGAAGCTCACTGGAGCTCACCGGCAGACGTATGGACAAAGGGCTTGTTCGATGTCCTGGATGTCTGGCCCCATTCAAAAAGGCGTATGAACCGAACTCCGGTCACCGGCTGCCAATGGATATTGGACTCCCTACTCCACTCCTACTGACTTGTAGGTCACACTTGGTTGTGTAAAGGCTAGAGCTGCACTCTCAAACAAAAGGCCGAGCGATTCTGGGGACATCACTCGTACCAAATTCCCATGAAACTTCATAAACTCTCTTCATCAGATCGCTGCGCCTGGGCAGCGATGATTCGAGATGTTCATGAAGCCGGCTCATCCTTCCGTAGGAGATAGCCGAAGCAAAGTAAAAGTAAGTAAGTTTATACCCTCTGTCAAAAAGGTCCTATTCACTGTCTTCATGCGACAGGAGTGAACCTCACAAAAATGAAAGGGCAAATGCGAACATCTGGCTCTTGCAATCGGACTCGTGGACATGCAGGTCTACCTAGGGAAGCTGAAAAAACCTTGATTCCAAATCTATGGTGTACATGAGCTCCAGAATTCGAAAGGATTCAATGGCATATGAAGCTGTTTAGGTGTGACTGGAAACCATGAGAACGTAGCTCTGCTGCATTTTGGATCAGACTTCAAGTTAAAGGTTCTGGGGGAACGGGGAGGTGACCCCATAAGACAACAACCATCTGCTTCAGTCTGGGAGTCAGGGTGGTATTCCAGCTTTCGCACAAACTATGCGACTTTTGTGTGGAGCATCTTTTGGTACCTACATAATGTACCAAGTTTGCGTGTTTAAATAAATAAACCTGGTTACCAGGATCATATTTTTCAAGTATCAGGCTATGAGCTACCCTGAGACCAATCGGCTAGAAGTTGAGAGCTAAAGCCAATGAGTCACATCTCCACATAACGGAAAAACAAGAAACTAGAGTAATTTTACTAGTCAAAGAATTTAAATTTCAAAAAGAAAAAGAAAACAGTTGTTAAACTTACCGTTTTCGATTTTCCTTCCCTACAAATAGTATCAATATTTAAAGGTCTCAACTACAAATAAGAATTTATGCATTAGAATGTCAGCACACATGATCAACCTACTCTTTCTTTCTTTTTCATTTCCGCTTCTTTGACCGACCATTCTTTTGCTTCAACTTCAAGCTGTTCAAATGTTTTCTGTAATTCGGACAGATTCTCTGCACCAGTCTATTTTGTTTAAAGAATCAGAATTTTAAAAAAGTCTGCGCTTTTCTCAACAAACCTCTTTAGCTTGATTTAATTTCTGTTGTGTTTCATTATATTTGCTTAGGAAAGATTTATAATTCTTTTCAAATTCTTCTTTCTCCCTCTTCCAAGCAGCATCTCTCTCTAGACGAGCTTGATGACGCCATCGAAATAAGCTAGGCGTGTCTATATTTGGATGCGTATCGTCTTCATCATCAGAGACCTACAATTGTGAATAAAGTAGTAGTAGTAGTAGTAGTAGTAGTAGTAGTAGTAGTAGTAGTAGTAGTAGTAGTAGTAGTATTAAATTTTTTTTGCATCAAAAAGAAAAGGGAATATAAAAATTTAAATTTGAACATACACACAAATCTGTAAAGCGTGCTAAGATAAGAAGATATTTCATTTCAAAATGGAATATTGTGAGCACACAAACACAGAAAAAGAAAACTCTAGTAGCATCAGGAAATAGAACTCCACACACATACAAATTGGTACTATAGTAGTTTTAAGGCAAAAATATGTTCCAGAGTATAACTCATGCTATATATATGTCCAAACCAAGTTCACTTTTAACAGTTTGAAAAAATTTGGGCATTGGGTATATGATATTCATTATAATGAAGGTTTTTTGTATTTCCCAATGAATGAAAAACAAAACGATATTGTTGTTTTTACTGACGTTTCGCTATTTAATGCTAATAGCTTTATCAAAGTATTATTAAACCAGAATTTACAAAATCTCAGCATATATATAAAAAAAGAGTTAAGGGGTGAGAAATGCTTGGAATGTGATGCGATATACATCGGACAAACATCTCGAGAAATCAAAATCAGAAGAAATGGACACCGTAGAGCATCTGTTCGACCACCGAGAAATCCAGTTGAACTAGAAAAACTTGAAAAATCATCAGCCATAGGTCGTCTACACGCTATAGAATCAGGTCACAAAATTGATTTTGATAATATTGAAATAATCCAGAAAAACTTCAGAAATCATAAAGAACGTCTAATATCAGAAGCACTTCATATCAAGTGGAATCCAAATTGTCTGAACAGGAATGATGGACTAAAACAGAATCTAACCTGCTTACAACATCTCCCTCCCCCATGAAGTGACAAAATCAACACGAATGTGATAAGCAAGTTCACTATGTAAACACACACTGCCTTTATAATTTTAAACACTGATCAAATCCAACAATCTACACTTGATGGTCTCGTTATGTTTACCAATTGACCAACTTGACAACGAAAAATGCCCCCAGACTGACGAACGATGATCAAGTTAGTAAACTTTATTTTGATATCATAACAGACGTACTATTACCTTTGTTATTTAGTTTAGTGATCTTTATTGTTATTTTGACTTTCAATATGTCCATTTAACTTGATCTAAGTATCTATTTTCTCACCCCTTAACTCTTTTTTAGATATATGCTGAGATTTTGTAAATTCCGGTTTAATAATACTTTGATAAAGCTGTTAGCATTGAATAGCGAAACGTTAGTAAAAACAATATCGTTTTGTTTTTCATTCATTGCGAAATACAAAAACCTTTATTATAATGAATATAACTCATGCTGGTTATTTTTTGTGTTCGCATGAAGTAGACAACTGAGATGGTAAAGTTAAACTTTAAGCACCAGTAAGTATCAAGGGACAAAAGACTTTGAGGAGTGCACCATCCACATGATAAAGGCGATTTTTTGAGTATAAAATGCATATACATATTTATGAAAACAATGAATTAAAAGGCATGAAACTGTTACACAGGATACTCTTGTCTGATGTCAAGGTAAAAATACCTCTCAGTTTTGGATTGGAGTATCAACAGAGTAATTTAACCACATTCTATGCACATAATTATCTAGGTTTTCTAACCCTAACAATAACCCTGATCTTTCCTTAACCTAACCCTTATCTAACTCGAACCAACCCTAATGTCGCCCTCACTAGGTTAACCTAGTCCTAACCTGTCCTTAGCCTAAATCTTAACTAGTTCTTTCTCAAACCTTTTTCAGATATCCCACTTAATAGCATAACAATTAAGCATATCTTATTCATGATTACAATATTATTTGCCAGGTTTCACTAACTAGCTCACTGAGCGTTTCAAGGTTATCGGTGCGGTTGCACTTCACTGGTACTTAAAGTTTAACTTTGCCTTGAGATTACTACGATGTATGCCACTGATGAAGTGCTATAGAATGGTCTAATCTGCAAAAATCATAACGAATGTCTGCTATCTAATTTTGTAGACTTAGCTTTGCATGCTTTGTTAAAGCAGGATAATGTAACCTTATGAATAGTCAGCATTTAGTCATCGGATTCAATCTTCCTTCCGTTTAACCAGAATTGAAGCAGTTCATAACATAGGTCTAGCCTTTTGTTGAACTTAAGGGAATATTTAAACAGGACAGTTTTCTTATGACAACTTCTTTATATGAACATTTGAATGAATTTATAGTTTTCGTTATAATAATATTTATTTAAATTGTTTAATTTCATTTAATCCACAGGTCATTTGTGGTGTCCACTAGTGTTGATTTGAAACGTGTTTAGTACTTTATATCTGCAGGTTAGACTATGGACAACAATAGTCGGAGACCGCAAGTTGCACCGGAACTCATTCACCCATTTTTAGGTCTCGGCAAATGAAAGATTTGCCTATTCTACACTACTTGGAACTTTTTTTCTTGCACAAAAGAGGAACAGTGCAAGCTCACACAAGAACCATCACTTAAAACATGGTCTGCATCAACACTTAAAAAGGGAAATTGGAATGACTATGTATTCTGCTCAGATTAGCCGTGTTGAGTTGCTGACTAACGAAATCTCAGTACAGACACAAAAAGTTTTTATGGAATTCGGCAGTGTTCTTACCAGGAGACAAGCAAGATTATGGTTTCGAATTCTATGTGAAAAGTTAATCAGTAGATCTTGCTCTCCCTTTCTCTCTCTCCCTAGATTTCATGTTTGTCAGCATAGGTTAAGCGTCGAGTGCTAGGTAAGGAGAAGGGAAAATCAATCAACATGGCTGTGAAATCACATCGACTGAGATGGTTAGGACATGTGTTACGTATGCCTAGTCATCGCCTTCCTCGACAATGTGCAATGTTAGCTGATATAGGGTCAGACTGGAAAAGAGCTAGCCAGTGGTGGTCAAACCAAAACATGGCACCAGTCAATGGAATTCACAACAGTTAGTTTAAGTCAGTCACGTAGGAAGGTGTAGACTTCCTGACTGGTTGGGGTCCTCGGGATAGTAAAAACCAATGGTTGGAAACAATCGGTGATATGGCTGAAAATCGTTCTCAATGGCTGGCACAGATGCATCCACTCCTTGTGACTTATGATTTCCAATGAAACTATTTTGTTCTTCGTTATTACTATTCCTTTTGTCTATCACTTCTGTTTACTGTCTATATTATGCATTTCTTCTACTTTCTTCTCTTGCTTTGTGTGCTACATGGGAGGAATGTGGCGACTTGAACTGCCGCATACCGGTGCAAAGTTCTACGTCGAATACAGACAGACAGTCTGTCAGCATGTGTTGGAATGGTGCATCCAACTTCTTGAGGGTACTGATGTGTTGTTCAAGTTTCACATATGTATCACTACTACGTGTTGAATCCAAAGACCTTATCACTGAGGAATTCGGATAACAACTTCAAGCAAGGCTGGACGATAAACATGAATTAGTTTCCAGATGGTAGACAAAGTAGTCATCTAGTCTTAAGCATTGATTTAAATCTTCCTGTCCATTGTAATCAAATACAACAAGCATTTCAAACTAGACTACTTAATTAATGAATCGTAGACGTTTTAACTGTGAAACATTAACACATTTGAACATCTATTAGCACTGGTAATTAGTTTAGTAACTAATAAATAGCCTTATGGGACGATCAACAGACAGAAGTTAGTATGTTTGAGCGTAATTAGCATACCGTTGACTTCTTATAAACTTCATATTAAGTGTTGTTGAGCATATGAGCCATGAGACTTTCATCCTACCCTACTAGTGAGTACACTCCTGAACATACCTACGTACTCCAGTATTGCATAAAAAATGAATCACTAAATAACGACTTAGATTACTTACTAAATAACGACCAGAAAATTTTAGATTTCTGAAGTTGTATCTATTTAAAGTCATAAAAAACAAGGGAAGTGTTACATGCAAGGAATAATTTGTAGTCCATAGGTCTATTTTCAGGAGTCAAATTGCTAACACAAGGATATTCCGATTTACATTAACTAACTGGAGCTTAAGTGTCTAACCTACACCGTATATCAATACAAAATGCAGAATCTATTTCATGCATGTTTGTATAACAGGATGAGTTTTTCAATGCGGGTGAAATAAGCTGGTGTACTGTGGAGGTTGGAGCTAGAATAGAGCCTATTGATGACAATTATTTAGACTACTGACCGGAGATTCCAAGATTTCACATTGACCGAAATATACTTCTTAACAATCGAATAGAGACCTGCAGAGTGGAAAACAACTTTTTCACAATTAATCAAAAGGTTTGATTAATATTCTTAAGAAAAACAAGACAGAGCTTTGTTAATTTAACTGATCGCTTGCTCAATAAGACAAGAAATAATACAGCTTGTATCTACCATCTTTTAGCAAGGCATGGAAGTAAACTAACCTATCAAATACTCTAGACATTTAGAAGTAACAGAACTACAGCTAGCTATTTAGTTCAATAAGGTTGGACAATCCAACCAAAGATGCCTTTCTGGGGGGTTTCACGGGATCTCCATGCAGAGTTAAAACGACCAAGCATGGAACCGATCTATGCCAACACTAGCTAACAAATGAAAGGCTCCAGTCATGTGCAAAGTAGCAGCCACCTCTCGCTGTGTAGTCTTAAATCCTCATGCACACATGTATTGTGAAATTTCTCTAAATGTCATATTAATCGACGCCATCGCTGATATTAGATGGTTGGAGGCAATCGGCAGGACGCCCTATTTGACCTATGTTTCGTGCTAGTTAGCACTTGTCATCAAGGCGTATCTGCAACCCTGAAGGAATCCACTTCCCTTCTGAGATTCGTGTTTCATAGAATTCAGTCTACACAACAAAAAGGACTAGACACATTACACTTCTTACTAACTAGTGTGCAGTCCACATCATCGTTATTGGGAGCCCGTATGTGAATTTTCAGTAAGCCAAGAGATTTAATATTCCACATCAGCCCTAACATAGCATGAGTTACATTCTAATGTAGCTGAAGTTCAAAAAATACACAAAAAACTTTCATATGTTGAATAATTCTCTCTGTTTAAATCATTCACAACACACGATACAGATAGTAGGCTAAGCACATACCTCAATGTGATCCCATTTGCTATAATTAACGCCCGACATCGAGGAAAAATGTCCAAGGAAGTATGGAAAAATATAGCAGTACGGGGTTACTCAGCGCAACTGCACGTTCCGCAGAAATGTGAAAGGGCGCCAAACTTCTGTATTCAAGCTTCGTGAAGCTTCTAGCATGTCAGGCGATCCAAACATTCTGAAATGACTTTTCTGTTATTTGTGTCATTCAATATTTTTTCGTATCGGCAGCTGGATAACATATAAAATGCCCACTTTTTCGTGTAGTAAAAGAAACTAGTACTTTTTGGCGGTGGCTGCACGTAGCTTCAGGTCCTTATGGGCAATTTGCAGAGGCTTTATTAGAAGCACCAGAGACATTTTCACCTCCTTATATACATCTCTGGTGAGGCCAAGACTGGAAAACTGTATCCAGGCAGCCAGTCCTTATCTAAAAGGGGACTCACACATTCTAAAAAGGGTTGAAAGGAAGGCAACACGAATGGTTCTCGGCATGACTAATTTATCATGCGATGAAAGACTAGACGGTTTAAATCTGTTCTCCCTGTCATACCGCAGACAGAGAGGAGATTTAATCACAATGTTTAAAATTTTAAATGATGACTACGGACCTGACCTATTCTCTCTTTTCCTTCCCACCAGGTAGTCGGAACAACTTAGAGGACATAGCAAGAGAGTTCAAAAGCCAAGAAGGAACCATATTGCTGTGGGTTGCTGGTTCTCACATCGAATCATAAACTCTTGGAACCGACTCCCAGAAGAAGTGGTGTCTGCAACCTCAACTGATTGATTCAAGAAAATTTACTAGAAAAGGATTAACATAGGCTCCAAGCCTTCTATCCTCGACCAATAAATCTGAATCTGAATCGTAAGCCTATAGTGAGAATAAAGTTTTCTTTACCCATTCCAAAAACATCAAAGTTCTTTCGTGGGGCCCTGTTTCATTAACCATATTCTTTAGCTCAAATTTGGGACCACGTCTAATATCATATTTCTCGCTTAGGAAGAGGGTATTGTTTGACACTCGAGTTTGGAGATGATGTAAGTTGTGATGACTACTGGTCTTTTTTCGATCCAAAGCGAATACTTCACGGTGTGGGAGGTGTCTGAGAGTGTCAGTTTCAATTGCTGTCCGGCAAAATCAATAATTCTAGATACTGTTGTTGTCAGCTAATGATCCACTCATCTAGAGACCAACGGTTACCGAATCCCTGTTCCAGTGGAACAGTTGGTATTTCCCGGTCCTCACTTGCCGGATCTACTTGTTTCGTGTTCTTTTTTCGTCGGAAACCACAGGTTCCTCTGGATTTATTGACATGAAAGCCGATAGCAGTGTGATTGTTCAATTGGTAGTCCTCAACTGCCACTTTAGACAAGCATCGTTTGGAATAGAGTACTCGATCCGTACTTTGATCACTTTCTCTGGTGCCTGCCCAGGGGATGAACGCGCTAGTTTGCAAGCAGACAAAAAATGTAAATGTTGGTAAAGAATTGCTTCATGTTAATGATAGTATGTCTGATGTTAGTTTTGACATATGTGATGAAAACTTTATTCCTCCAGTTCCTTTTATCAGCTTGAATGAAGGAAGAACGAACATATCTGCAGAATAATGCCAGCTCGTCTTATTTCGTGGATTCTCTTCAAATGTGTACATTCTAAATAAATCAATGAAATGTTACAAAATTTCCGAACCTACCTTTTGCAATTCTTTGAAGTTATAGATGGAAAGTATAAACAAAATAATTTAAAAGGTGATGTAAGTAGACAATTATTTAGTGATAAAGAAGGTAACTATTTATATGGTTATTAGACAAAGGGATGGAGCTCTAATTTCCCTTGGAAACAAGAATGAACCAGAGACAATGTATGAAAGAGAACAACAGAGTTAATTTACACATATTATGGTGGAGAGTTCAGAAGTGTGGGGACAAATAGTGGAGAAAAATTATAAAATAGATAAAATAATTTAATTTAGTAGACTCGGAACCTTAATAGTGAGTTCCACTCCGTAAGTCAAAATCAAAACCAAGATTGAGTCAAATGTTACGGAACAGAACAAAACATTTATTGTTACCCGGGTAGTGAGAGATTAGTCTCATTCTCTTTCTGTATGCATAGGTTGAGTCGAAGACTTTTGATGGTAGTAATGGCTTTTGCGGACCGAAGCAACTGTGCTTTTTCTCGTGTATTGATTATTTTAAAGGCCTGTTTAATTTTCACCGTATGTCCAGTGTCAACCAGGTAGATGTGTCTGGTGACTGCACTTGAGAATGATTTGCTGACTTTCAAACCGAGACTTTTAGGGATGTGCGTGGTGACGCAAGTGCATGTGAATTGGCAAGTTCGGTTAAAGTTGGTTTGAAATATTCGTCACTTCCTAGTGTTGATCAATGTAATGGGTTGTCCTTTCAATAAAATTTGCCTTGCAGAAGACAGAACCTAATGAACTTCGTAGAATGACACCAATGCTGATTGGTCTAGGTTTAAGATCCTAATCACTTACAGTTCTCGACGGATATATAATGAGGTAATCTGCATTTCTAAGAAGAGTTGCTAAAGGGGAGGCAGTAAAAGGTATTAAATTATATTTATACATACATATATACATAAGCTGACTATTAGATATTTTGCTGCTGCCACTAAACCGATGAAACTAGCTTGAATTTTATGGTTCCGAGTTTATCCACACAAACTTTAGTGACATGAGGCTTTCTCTAGATTTGTTTCTTCTCCTGAAGTTAAGTCTGAAAGAAAACCTGATTATGGAGAGTAAATCGATGCCTGACTTCTACTGAACAGTCATCTACTGAAAATAGTCACTCATACCATAGCAAATCTGAACGAGAGTGAATACTTTGTGTAGGACAGAATACACGCGCACGAAATAGATAATCACAAAATAATGCGTAGTAGGGAAGCACCCCTCTTGGGTCTAGCATGTAAAAGGGTAGAATGGTCTAGATAGCTGATCAGCGGATCCCACAGTGGAGATATATGTGACATGAGGATAAAATTTCAGTCCACCAGCTGACTCCACCTATTTCAAATGACCCCAGATAGGCGATTTGGATAGATGATTACACTATTCCCTGATTTTGTCCCTTCCAAATCACTCTGATTACATTAATACATTCCATTTTATTACTTATGTAATATACTGGCTGGCATACTGTTGAATATATATTTTCCGGCCCACTGTGTGTCCCCACTCGACTCGTCATAGCCATACATAGTCTCACAAGTCGTGGGATGTAATAACCGTTAAGCAGCTTCAGCAAGATTTAAAAATATTTGAACTACCGGTTTTTGTGGGACAGCGCCGTCTTATGCTACGGTTCCTGAGTTTGAATGACGTCTACATGGAACAAAGAATAAATCCAGAATACCAGCTCCTGGTGTGAACTTTATTTTAAATGTGAATACACTGTATAAACCAATCACTTCAGACGGACACCCAATCGAATCTTTCAGAGTAGCAGTATGCACAGCATTAACCTCTTGCTTCCTGTGTTACTTGACCTCTCACTCTGCTTTTTGGGTCTGACTTTCTTCCCGTGGAGCTCCTAAACTCCCTACTGGTAAAGACTGCCAGTATCGCCATACATATTAACCATTCGTTAGCGCTAACATAGAAATATTTCTTAAATATAACTCAGCTTTTCGGTGTAAAACAGTGCGGTTATTACGAGTGAACTTAGTTTATAACTCCTGGGGCTTTGTCGCATCTTCCCCTAACCCCTCTTACAGCTATGGTGTATCCTACATTTGCATTACTCGATCACAGTATTGAATTCACACAAATTATACTCTCCAATTATTCAGTAAATGGTTTGTACATTTAATGGGGACCAAATGGCCGTCATGAATTCTGTTCACCAAGGGGAGAGTGGATACAAAGTGCACTTGAAAAACCCGACCAAGTTTGTTCTCTTCAGCAGAAGCATTAATAAATTCACCAACATTCAGCACCAGTTCGGATGGATGGGTACTTAGATGCTAGGCAATACCACCTGGAGGAACTAGGTTTAACGAGTAGGATCAAGGTAATATATTAGCGTTTCATCATTCTATTGATGGCTCTTCCCTGTCTACTCAGAGGTGGTTTAGTCCATGCATTTGGTTGTGTCCATTTCTTTGACTATGCACCGAACCGCCAATAATGTCAGCAAAATTGTCCTACTGAGATGGTTCGTGATCTAGGATGTTGTCTGTTAGGAGGCCCACCTGGATTGCCTTGAGTTAGCTGAATTTTCGCTAGTGTTTTCGTTAGTGATCCAGCACTGCTCATCATTTCTGGCAATAATCTGTCGCCACAAGTATTCGTATTAACCGCTTTTAATCCGGTCAAGTGTTTCTTCTCTGTCAGTCAATCTGCAATGAGTATCGACTACTCTGGATCTTTGGCATACAGTGCCTGCTGCACACACTTCCGGAGTTCTTGCGTCCAACCGTGTTCTAGTACAACCCTAACCACTGTGCTACTTCCGAATTCCCACAGCTCATAAGCTCTTGTGAGGATCTACTGCCGCGGCCACGCCATATAGCAGCCATTGTATGAGTTGATTTCTGAACACTGAGAGGCAGCTTATGACTTCGCGCTCAGGTCACCAAAGCCTGGTGCACAAGTGTAATCTCCGAGAGAGGACAGGCAGACAAGCGGTGGAGTGGAACACTAATTTACTGTCAACAATCGATGTGTGCAACCCAGTTCAGTAACCCAATTCTGTCACAACTCAATGTTTCGATCTGGGTCGAAATAAAAGTTGTCAGAAGTAAACCTATACTTGCGAGTTACATCTACCGACCCTCTTCATCCAGAAGGTTGTACGATAATATTGTTAGTCGCGACAGATAGATAGACTGTATGATAAACAGCCAATCAATATTATGTGACCTTTCTTGTCGCGATTATTGGCCAATTTATTGTAACTCTCACCACGTGATGACCTTGAATGTTCTTTTTTGTCTGTCACTTTACTTGTATATACATGTAATTAATTGACTGTTCATTTTGTCCGTACCTTCAATACTGTTCGGTACGTTTTTGTCCTATTTTTGTAATGACAATGGATTTGTACATTTTTCTTGGTGTAATTGTATGGTTTATTTTATGTTTTAG